AGAAGAAAACGGAAACTACTATAATGGGTTATATAGAGACTACTGTAAGGATCCATATCTTCATCCCTAGCCAACCAAAAGACAGATTAAGGCCTACCTGCACGCATGGCTGTCACAGATTGAGGAGCGGACAAACTCAGCAAGGAAACATGGAGCTAAGGCATCATCTTAACTTAACATGTGATTCCCTTGCCTCTGATTTTCCGATCCGTGCCCCTGGTAAGATCGGGAATTTGAACCTATATGGCAGACAATCCCACAACAGGACTTCCCCAGACTCACCCACAATCATGAGAGCTACCACAGATGTATCTATGCATATCTCTCTATACAAAGATGCGAAGATATCTGCCACTTGATCCATCAGTCTATGTACAAATGTGGCGCCGTGGAAGTTTCCATAAATTAAAAGGACCAACATAAACCCCCAAATACTATAATCCTTATTCTGGAGATCCCCCCCCAAGAAAGTATCCCCCAGCCTTCTTAGGAGATCCCCATGTACAAGAACGCGTGTCCTCGTCCAGCATCACTCCAACGCCTTGCATCTGGGTAATGGCTCGAGACACGAAGGCCAGCGCAGGGGGCAGCTGGAAGTACCTGCAAGCGCTCTCAGGATGGTCGCTTTGAAGGGTTTCTACAAGAATATGCAAAGGTTATATAGGCTTTAGGGATATGACAGGAATATTCGGATATCAAGTGGAAGAGAACCTGGGAAATGAAATGCATCTTGCGACGACGTAAGAGTTTATAGGGATTCAGGCTGCCAAACGTTAGGCATCTCCCTGTGTAAGTCCCGAAAACAAGGATTATATACGATTTGCGTGGATTGCATAGGTGGGACCACTGTTTTCGGAAATACCTGTGCGGAAGCTAGTGGACTCTTTTTCGAGCCTCTAAGGCAATATATAAGAATTCTTTGCATGGGCAAAAATCCATAGGTGTCAGTAAATGTTCAGGTGCGATTCTGAAATTACAAGTGAAGGCATATGGATGCTTTCAACGAGTGTGTGGGGACTAACTGAGTATGCACCCACCTGATGAATTCCCTTCATCGCGTTTCGCTGCTCTAAAGATCCCTCGCAGCCATTGGTGGACTTTCATGGAACCTTGTGAACTTTTCCAACTGGGGATATAACTCTACTTGGCCGGCCGCGGGACTGCAAGTGGGGCCATTGCAGCTTCGTGGATGGAAGAACTCTTGCACCACTTACGCCGCCTAAACTGGGTTGCTGACAAGGAACTTAAGTTATCATAACATGGGTATATCGAAAATAATATGCTTTCCTTCTTACAGTATCCTAGTTTAAGTTCCTTAACAGCAACCCAGCAAATTCAGGTACTTCTTGGGAGAAGCTAGGATTGATGCTAGGGATGGTGCAAGACCTCCTCCATCAGGGAGCTTCGGAGGGGTTAGGGGTTTAGCTGTTAAGGGTGCAGTACACGCCAAGATCTATGCAATATACCATAGAACCTCACTACGCTTGCTGGAGCCTGCCAAACTCCTCAGCCAATCGGCTTAGGAGAAAAAAAAAAAGTTGTATGGGGATTGCCCCGGTTTAACCCCTCAACAATCAAGGTACCCTTTTTCCTGATGTTCAGGTTTAAGAAGGAGATCCCCGAAATCAAAGGGAAAAAGGGCACTACTGAGATACCAGTGAAGTCTACAATCTGCATTGCTCAGAGTCAGGCAGATACAGGGGTTATAGAAGGATGATATGGGGTTGTTTAGGGGGCTTATCATGGTTATGTCGGGGTTTATACAGGGGTTCTATAGGCATTATATGGGACCTCGTGCTCTTTAGTAAGCCCAAATGCTGCATGAACACTACGGAAAAGCTAATCACGTTGAAGCCTTATCCCCCACACACTTCTCTGACTTTAGGGCGAACTTCATGACCTCTGACTGCTTAGGTGCTTCCGCATTCTGCTCCTCCTGCCCAGAACAGAAGAGGGTCTAGGTTTCAAGATTGGTGGTTGATGAAGGCAGGGTCTGCGCAAGTTTGCCGGGTGGCCTAATAGGCTATAGAGAGTTTAGCGTCTCCACAAGTGTCAATAGCCACAGTTACTGTCCTCAGTACGATGAGTATTGGACCTACGTACTCTCTCAACGTTGAAGCGCAAATCTAATAATGTAAAACCACGCGGTTTAGGGTTTAGGGTTTAATTATCTCAGATTGGGGTAGACACAAAACGTACGCGGATTTTGAAGCATCCCCCGTTGGAATCCTCAGGATCTGGTCAACAGGGCCCTCCATAATCCAATCACCTGCACCAATACCTTCAAATCACCTTCAAGGGGCTTGCCAAAATGGGTGTCATTTTTTGGGGGGGAAGGGGGGGGGAGGGGGTGCGCATCATAAAGATCATAGTATCTGGATGTTCGGGGGCCCCTGATCCAAAACATAAGCCTTAAATACCGCAAACTATAGCAGCTTCACAGCAGCCAGGCCTAGCCTGGCCCAAGATTCAGGAATTGAGTCAGGGTTTAGATATGGGCTCTCCGTACAGGAGTTGCCCATGAACATACAGGGTTATGGTCGGACTGTGTAAGGATACTGCCAGGGTTATACAGGAAGTATACAGGGCCGACGTGGGGCTGATGTTGAAACAGAACCGATTAAAATGCCCAACATACTTTACCAGAAAAGTTTGGTTGCCGTAGGCCCTATAATAAGAAACCCATAAGGGTCCTATGAAGGTCAAACAGGGTTTTACTTTAAGGGTTTGGGTCATTCATTTCCCTTCAATATACTTCAAGCATAGCCCGTTGAGCAGAAGCTGCAGGCGCAAAAGCCCGTGTAGAAGCCTGAAAAACTATAGTCCCCCTTAAGTACATAGAATATGGGGTATATGGGGGTCTTATTATAATATACCCAAAGCCATATTCTATCTACTTAAGGTGGACTATACTTACAAATATCATGCTGATGTCTGAGATGCCCTATACTTACAATTCACGAGGCATCTAGAAACCCCCACAATGGTTGTAATCATTCAGGCTTCGACAGTATGCGACTCCTCTGAAAGCTCGCGCTTTCGCTTGCTTCGTTTGCTCTTGACCTGACTCAGGAGATAAGGGTGGAATTGTATTTACCAGGAATTATTTAGGTCGCCTTTTCAGGAATCCTGTCTGTTTGTTGCAGCAGGCCAAATCCAAAGAGACGAGGATCGGTTAGATGAGTTGCTGAGATGATATAAACACGCGCAACGAAACAGAATGCTTTGCTGACATGGGTGCAGACGGCATGCCGGGCAGGGGCTCTACCTCAAGCAATTCTAGATAAGTGACGCCGATACCGTTTTTTTAGCCATGCCCCCACGCTCTCAGCGCCACCACTACAAAGTTCGCAGCCCTTCCTCACAGCGTTTTCAAGTCCATTCCAATTTTCTTATGGCCGGTGTATACATCCAAAAGCATCTCTACCTTCTGTCGCGCCCGCATGACTGAATGATTGCATATAGCCCTCGATACAACCAAATAACTACCTCTACACTCCTTTTACTGTATAGCAACTATGACATTCCCAAAGACGTGCTTTCAAAAAGGGATCCGTCTTTTGATGACGCAAGTTGTAACATCCAGCTGCGCCCTGCCTTTCCGGTCTCAAAGTTCTTCTGGACAACGCCCTCGACGGCCTGTCGGGAAATTGGGGGAAACAGAGTTTAGGGACGAGGGTTTAGGGATCAGTACTTTCTGTGGAAGATTTGTTTGTTTGGGGGGAGTTAGGTTTTCTTGGGGTTCTGTTTTGAGACCATTACAAATAGCACTGCTTGTATCAACTATGATGTGCTGGCAGCTGCTGACAAACAGTGCCCAGCCCCCTGAAGCCATCCATGGCTGCAGCCAAAATTCCAAAACGTGCGTCACAGCAATCTACTTGGATCTGATGGAAGTTCATTCTTAGACATTTGAGATCTGGATGCAGTAGAGTTCAAAAGACAGGAAAGCGATCACACCGGGGCTACACGGAGGGTTAAGGAGCAATGGTGAAACATTTCGGTACCTCGCAACAGCTACGGGATCACCATAGCCCACCTTCCTAAGAAGCTGACAAACTTTCCCCGTGACCAAGTAATCATATCTAGCAAGCCGGGACATTCCCGATACCGCCCCTACGTGCTACAAGAGCCTATCAGTAAGGGTCCTCTGCAGATTCCTCAACATGTGACGCCCAGTACAGCCGCTAAACAAAGACTCACCTCGATGGGACCAAACTTACTGGCGATTGGTACAGAATAAGGGAATTGAATCACTACGTAATCCTTATGTAATTATTGCCTTCTCGCCTACTAAACCCCAGTAAGCGAAAAGGGCGGTATGGATCATGCTGAGCATGATAAGGATGTCATTGCCCTTTTCTGGTTGACGATGTGACAAATCTGATAATCTTAGGAACCACCATTGACCCGGATGTTTCACGTGAGTGTGAATGTAAGGTTGGTTCTTCATGCAACAAACCTTCCCTCTTAAACCCCGACACCTTTTGCTGAGCCCATGAGAAAGCATTTACAACCCAAACCCTCAATTCAGACGGCCCAAACATCGCCAAAATGGGGACGTGATTGCGCTTCCAGAAGTTCAAGCCCTAAACCTTTCATACCTTGAACCTTAAGCCGCATGATTCCCTACAAGGACCCAAAGACGGGTAGATTAGGGGGACCATACGGCCTAATAGCCCATCCTGGTAGCAACCCTGGATGCCAAACCCTAAGCCCTGAAACCCAAGGCACCGAGAAGTCGGTTCCTTCCTTAAGGCATCCCAGGCTGTCCATTGCCTGCAAGATATTGTGGACTTCGCAAAATGAGGGATTATGAATGGGAATATGAGGATAATGGATGTGGATAATGGAGAAGAAAATGGAAAGTACTGTTTGGGGCTTAGGGTTTCCCGAAAGTGGGGGTACCATGGGGGGGGGATGCGTAATCAGGATCGTAGTATTGTAGGGTCTACATTGGCACCCACATCCGGTTAGGGTTTTGGGTTTAGGGTTTCAGGGTTACCCTAACTAAACCCCAAGTCCTAAATCCTAAGCCCCCAACCCTAAATCCTAAATCCTGAATCCTAAACCCTAAACCCTAAATCCGAAACCCTACACCCTAAACTTAAACCCTACACCCTAAACTTAAGCCCTACACCCTGAACCCTAAAGGCGGTAAAGCGCCACGCTGGTTGGTTACCAGTATGGTGCTGACATCTGGGTGTGAGCTGCAGAGCTTGAGCCCCATACTAGAGCCTGCAACATCAACCCTACTGAGTAGCTGGTAAGGAACTTAAATCAAGTTGCCATGATACGGGTATGAAGAAAATCATAGGGTTTCCTTGTTCCAGTAATATTTTTTCCTTAACAGCGACCCAGTATACCTTGTCAGCAGCCTAGCTTACGACTACTAATGTGGTGGCGGATTATGGTCGGTAAATGCGATATTAATGCTGCAAACAAACTCGTGGATTCCTTCCCAAGAAGTTCTCCTTTACAATGTAGAGAAAATTTCGTGATCGTAGGAAGGGGGTCTCTGGCAAAGTCTCATTTCTTGCTGGAGTGGAGAGGCACACGAAGCCCATGTTTGCAAAACATGCTTAACTACTTCGGCATGGATTCAGCAGATCGCAAACTGTTGAAGATGTCTCCATATGTTCTCATACAAGGAACCCTTTCCCAAATGAGAACTCAAACTTCCGCGCGCATGATGGAATCGCGAGTCCGGAAACTTCCCATGAGTTCAGAGGTTCAATGTTGCAGGTCTTCACAAGCACGTGCCAAATTTGTGGCCCTTTTGCAATGGAAGATGGCGGTAGTAAGGATCTTCGCGGTCAGGGACGTAAACCAGGATCGTCACTGCGGCATGAACCAGGAAAATACGATCTTTTTCAGAGGAGGGTGCTTGCGACAGCTGGGCTTCAAGACAACATTGCCACAAGGGCAAGAGGACACCCACAAGGGCATTCTCTAACCTCACAGCATGCTGTAAAGAATGGATTTGGTCGAGTACTGAGGGCCAAGAATGATCTCGCTGCTGACCCTGCCATTTCACCCGGGCTACCAGCAGGCTTCGTTCTCTTGGGGTGAGTGTGTTACACCCAACATCAGCCCTCTAAGCACTTCAAGCACACTCAACAACAAACTTGCACGCCCAATGTCCCAGTAGCAATTCCAATATTCAACCATGATGCCTATGTTGCTGGTAGCAGCAATTCTTGAACTTTTGTGTCTATCAAAACCCAAAGGCTGCGGCTTTGGAACATGCCCGCACTGCGGGATATGCCTTCACGCAGTCCGCGGCTTCAAAATCAACAATGGACTGGATCACCTGGCATGCCAGGCAGACACATGCAGTTCTGAATCTGTCCATAAGTTCTCAGCGGAAACTTGTGAACCCAACTAATTATCCAGTTTTCCTAATCAACTACCTTGCCGCTGAACATGAAAAGCAACAGCCCTCTAAACCCTAAACCCTAAACCCTAGAAACAGCAACAGGCATCTTCGAGTGCCAACCTATGGAAGATCAGCTGCCAATCACAGTCATTAGGGGTTTAGGGTTTATAGGGTTTCTATAGGGATTATATATTGGGGCTATTTGGGGATACTGGAAAATGGAAACTACTCTACTATTATATACCACAATGAGAAGCAAGCTCAACGTTTGCAATTCACCTCTACAACCCTGTGCGTGATAGCTTCTATTTTGCTTTCCCTTTGATTCTCCATGTCTTGGGGGAATATCCGTATATAGCCCCTGTAAAGTCCTCATATGATTGTTGCGAAATTATGGGCCCCTTTTGGCTATAGATTGTATCACAGCACCTAATATTTGGGGATACCAGAATGGGACCTAATTTTGGGAACCACCCATATGATCCCTACATAGTACTAGGAATTCCAAGCCCCAACATGTCTGAGAAGTCCCCAGAAACCTCTCCAATAAATAAAGACACCCACCAGAAAAGCTGCCACAGCTCTAACGAAAACACGCGGAACCTCAAGCCCTCGGGACGCTCCTTACAGGTCTCAAATTACTATACAATCTGGGAAGTTATATTATCTATACACACACGTGCATATCCAAAAATACTGCAACCTATTCATTTGGGATCCCCTCCAAAAAGAATTTCTCATAATGTAGACCCCTGATTAATAAGCCCCCTCCCCTAAATAGGGATTGTGAGGGATCCTAGTGTTAAGGCCCTTCAAAGGAAGGGTTTTTAATCATGGATCTACATTATCTTCTATTCCACCCTTAATAGCCTCTATAATTATCCCTCTCTAATCCCCCTTCTAACCCCCTTCAAGGCGTTTAGACTATAGCTCATATGACTATACCCTACATCCTAAACCCTAAACCCTAAATCCCTCAAACCCGAGGCCTTATTTGACTATGAAAGAAACACCGCAAATTGGCCTGAAGGATGCCATCAGCTTGTTTATCTGTCAGCTCGCAGGCCTTTTGCTTAGGGTTTAGGCTTTAGAGTTCAGGCTTCAGGGTTTATATGAGGTTTAGGGTTTAGTGTTGAGAGTTCGGGTGTCAGGGTTTAAGGTGTAGAGTTCGGGGCCTGTGGTTAAGGTTTAGAATATGAAATTTAGAGTTTGGGGTTTACGGTCTCTTGTTGCGAAATCCCCCTCAAAAGGGTAGATAGGGTTTATCCAGGGGCTATATAAGGATGATGTAGGATTCAGGGATGTTTGGTGGTTGCACCGAGTACAAGTATTTTTTCGGTTCATAAAGTACTCTATCTGGAATGAGAATATAATGTTACTCTAAAAATAGGAGCTGTCCAATGCTGCTAACTCGTGGTTCATGGGCAGTTAGACCTGGGTTACATGCCCATGGTACTAACACCATTGGGGGCATGTTTAACACTACATATGTATCACTACCCTCGAACTTGCAGGTAAACTTTTTTAGGTCTTGTAGGCATTGTAGAAGACAGAGTCTACCTCCAAGGGATACACTGGGAACATGTACGGAGTGCCATAGGAGTAGGCTTACTGGATGATGGGAATAAGGGAATACATTACATAGGGATTATATTCACTCATTCCCTACTAACCCCGAACCCTAAGCCCTAAATCCTTTTAACTATTCCTTTATTCCCTACTAATAAACAAGTAAGAAGAGCCTCGGATTGTAGCTCTAAACGGATCCACAACAAAAAACAACCACAAGGCGCGACCCAAGCCAACTCAGCTACGTACTGGCTCTTAGCAAGAAATAGGGGGATGCAATTCATCCTTATATAATCCCTAGATAATATCGTTCCCTAACCCCTACAATAAGACCTAAGATATCCACATGAGCGCTCATATGGTTTAGGGTTTAGGGTTCAGGATATCATAGTCGTGTGTTATGTTCGTTTCTTTGATTTTTTGGGGGGGTGGGGGGTGGTGGTGGTGACTTGTGATAACAAAGCTCCCTCTATTAACATCAGACAGGCTCGAGATGAACCTGAAGGATGTCGCCTGCTATTGGGTTGCTGCTAAGGAGTTTAAGTTAAGTTACCATAATATGGGTATATGGTAATAATATGGGCATATAGTAATAATATGGGTATATAGTAAGTTAGAGGGCTTCCTTAGAATTGTAACTCAATTCAAGATTCTTCACAGCAATCCAGATTACCTTCAAAGGGCACTGAAC